TGACATTAATTCAACAAACCAAAACCAATAAGAGATGGACTCCTAGCCTGGGACTAAGGATGATGAGCCTGTCATTGCAGCCCTTCATGGCATGCCAGCAAGCAGGAGACTACAATAAACCATCATCCTCAGCCCATGCAGGCCAGGTAGCATCATCAGGACAGTCTGAAGGGTAAAACAAGTCGAAATAGTTGCTGCAGCAGCACAACTGAAGCAAAGCAGTTGGGTTTTCAGTCCTACGGTGTGGCTGTCATGTTGACTTTTTTTGACATGTGTACCATCCTGACTTTGCCACTCTGCCTCTTCTGAAGTGTGAGAGCAAACAGGTCAAACGCCCCCCCCCCACTTCTGCCTGCTGCAAACCACCCACTCTGACCACCAGCTTGTGCTTACTCTTCCCAGCAGATCTCCAGAAAGTGATTAACTGGGTTTATATAGCTGAGTTGGGGGGACTGGCTGTGCTGCAGCCCCTGGTCCACTTGTCTTGGCACTTCTTCATCCTGAGCACAGAGCCAGGCGAAGATCAACAGGGCTGTCTCACCGTTCATAACACACTTTGTCTTCCATTGCGGGGCTGTTTATCCAAGCCTGTCCCAGCAGCTACACTGGGGGTGGGAGGAATAGGAGGGCTGGGTGGCTCCCCAGATTCAACATGGGAAAGGGGTGCAACCATGTGTCCTGCCTTCACATCAAAGCTGGACAAAATGGTTATATTTTTAGGCTAACTGCCCCCACCATTTCAATTTGGAGCTAAGGGAGCAGGATTTTCTCTTTTTTAGCACTTCCTGCCTGTGCTCATCCCTCTGGCCTTTCTCCCCACCCCCAAAGTCCACAAGAGGCAGCCTCTTGCCACAGCCATCCCGTGTCTGGGACCCCCGAGGGAGGCTCATCTTTGGAGCAGCATTGATGTGAAAAATGCCCTCGGGCTGGGAAATGGGAGCAGCCCAGCTGGCAATCCAGGTGAGATTCAAAGGAAGCCAAAATACCTTTTAGAGGGACAGCCCAGTACACCCCCTCCCCTCCTGAGGACCACTTGGATCAAGGGCTAGTTGGGCCCTCATGCCTGTGAGGACCCCACCCCAAGGGAGCCGCTGGCAGAGCCCGGAAGCTAGAGCTCCAGGGCAGAAAAGAGCAGCATCTCAGCCAAACTGGCTGGGGCTGCAGGCATAGCCTCCCCCACCCCGAGAAAGAGCCACGGCTCGGGTAGGAATGGCTTTTGATGCCACGGAGAGGCCTTGGCGCCACCCTCAAGGCTCACTTGCAATCTGCTGGGTGGCTCCAGGACTCCTGCCTGCCACTCCAGGAGTCCTGGGCTGTGAAGAGGGGCTTTGCTCCGAATAGTTTATGCCTCCCCACTTCCTGCAAAGAAGAGCACGCATATCCTGAAACATACTTCCCGGGAAGCATTGCCAAGCAAAATCCTTGGAATTCATTTGCAAATAGTCCAGATGCAGCCTTCTCCCCTGAGCAATACCCAAGAGCACCGAAGGAAACAGGGTCCAGGGCCACAAAGTGCATCTGAAAAGGGAGGCATGCAATCCATGCCCCTCTCCCCCATCCTGAGCCACCCCAGCCTCAAATGGCTGCCTTTCTCCATCTGACGGATTGACCCCTAATTAATCTGCCTGCCCCAGGTTTGGGCTGGCAAGAGCCCAGAAGGAGCCACAGAGCTGCAACCAAGAAGTGGCCGCATCTTTGGGCAGCCTCTCCCGGCTAAGCGGCTGCCCCACGGCTGATGTGCTGAGACTGGTGGGCCACTTTCCTTTAATGTGCATTTTGGCAGGCTGGATTTATTTCACACAGACTTCTAGGCGATGTAAATCATTTCTAGAGGTAGCAAAATATTTCCTGAATCTTCTCCCCACCTCCCGCCCCATAGATGAGCGTGTGGTGAACAAATGGAGAAACAAATGCTGCTGCCCCAAAGGGCGGGAGGGGAGCATCCGAGGGGGGGTGCCCCTGGACAAAAGATTCAGGTGCCCTGGAAGCTCCAAATGAGACCCTCGTTTTCCCTAGTAGGTGTCCTGCACAAGGTGGGAGTCCCTCTGAAGGTCTCCCGACTGATGTGCAAACTCCGGGGCTAGGAGAGTGCAGAGCCTCACGCTGATTCCCTACCTTCTTCTACAGTGGTAAATAAGCAGCAGGAGAAACAACACACACACACACACACACACACACACACACACACACACACACACACACACACAAAAGGAACATTTTTGAGATACCCAGGATAGAAGCAGCTCTTCCCAACTCTGCTTCTGAACAGGATTGTTTAGAAAAGTTGTCCTTTCAGACTGACAAGTGAGCCCACTGCATGAAGGAAGCCAGTCGGCTCTTTTCTGCCTCACTGTTTTTCTTTCCAAAAAGTGAGAAAGGTGATCTGTGCCTGGATGAAAGTCTGGCCAGAGAGCCAGGACACCCGATTAGAGGCTCTAATTAGCTATAAATCACTTGTCAGGCCAGCCCAGGGAGGCGAAGCCAAGAGAAGGTCGATGTGGGGGAGAGAAGCGGGGACCCCAAGAAAAACACCCAGGGAGGGGGAGGGGAATCAAGGAGTAAATCACTTTTTTCATCCTTTCCCACTTTTGTTTTGTAAATGCCTTCCCAGATTCTCCCTGGGATGTTTGGAAGAGGACTGTTCCGCTTATCATCACCAAAAATGGAGCTCTGCAAAGCAAAATCTGAGAATCTGTGAGAGTGAAGCCTCTGCAGCACCCAGGAAGAAAAGAGTTTGATTCCCACCTGACCATCCTCTGCCCCTTGCTTGATCTTCCTCCTGGGCCACCTTCCTCCTCTGGAGGCTCAGCACCAACTCAACCCCCATTTTTAAGTCTCCAGAATCAAGGTCCCCTTAAAACAGACCTGGGTGGCAATTTTGCCTCTTCCGGTTCTACCACGCAGGAGGCTTGCCCATCTGGCTTCACATAGCCTCACTGGCAGGAGCTCCCGGCCCCTCCAAATGTGCTAAGTTATAATGCCAGGCACCCCATCTGTCACAACCAACAACCCACGGAGGAGGACGCCCCGGCCCAGAAGAGGAATTAGCAGAAAACCTTTTCTTCCTCCTACATAAAACAAGCAGCTGGAAACCTCAGTTCTCAAGTGGAGGACCAAGGCCAGAGCTCTCCCCCCAGAAAGACTGCCTGGCACTCTGCAAGGCTGGACCAGCAGCCCTACCTCCCTTTTGCTGTCCGGATGCCAGGGCAACCACCTTGCCCCTCTGTAGACATCTATAGGAGGAAAGATACCAGAAGAAGGTGGGACCTCAAGAGATGCTTCAAGACACATGGAGAGATTCTGAGCTGCAGCTGAGGAGTCAGTGATGAAAAAAGAAGGGGAGCACTAATGTTGGTCCCCCCAGTTAAAATGAACAGTTAAATAGAAAGAATAACAAAGTAGGAAGGGACCTTGGAGGTCTTCTAGCAGGGGGTTGCCCCTGCTCAAGCAGGAAACCTATACCATTTCAGACAAAAGAATTAAGCAAACGTGGTAGACATCCAGAGGAAAGTGTATCCACAGCCCCACACCACAGTGATGTCCAGAGGACTTACAAGCTGCTTTGGCAAAGTTCACTGCGGCCACAATCTACCTAAAACACACCTCTCACTGAGGTCAATGCATCCCTTCTCTGGAATCTGGTCGGTGATTTACAACGGGTGTTAAAAAAATTACTGCAAACTAACTGAAGGATCTATTTTTAACATGAATGTGGATAATTGATCAAAACGATCTGCAGGGCTACAAAAAGACTTTTAAATCTGCTTAGCCTAGCTATTCCTTAATTTTGAAAAGAAGTGGGAAATGAATAAATAAATGTAGAAATTCAATTTGAAAGTAAAATGATATTTTCAGCAAATAGGAATAAAAACACCCCATATATAACCATCTTATTTTTAACTCTTTTAACTTCAACTGTGATTATTTTTTCCAAGTCTGAAGCATTGAATTGCCTTTTAAAGCATTTCAGGATTAGAGAACAAGGAAACTTTGATCTTAGGCTATGATCTAGTGCAGTGGTTCTCAACCTTTCTAATGCCGCAACCCCATAATACAGTTCCCCGTGTTGTGGTGACCCCCAACCACTTATACATCACCGGGTGCCAGGGGCGTGGCCAAAGAAAAGGGGGAAAAAATGGCAGACAGCCTTGTTTGGCGACCCCCATGAAATGGTCATTGGGGTCCCGACCCACAGGTTGAGAACCACTGATCTAGTGGGATCATCTCTTGCAAAATTTCACCCAATTGAAATCAGCTTGAAATCCGTGCCAGGAGTCTTTCCAGAAGATCATGCCCAACATCATCAAGTAATATAAACAGGAATTCACAGCCAGAAAATTGCAAACTTCAACCCGCCAATCGAACTTCAATTCGGGGTAAATTATCTGAACCTTTGAAAAATTCCAAGTCTGCCTCATGTATACATAAATACATAAAACAAAGACTTTGGACCTCAGGATGAACCTTGAAAGTGATGAAAAGCAAAAAAAAAAAAAAAAAAAAAGAGCATTTCCCTGATCAGTCTCTGCATTATATTTTCTTAAGAAGGAGCTCAGCGAAGGAGGACTTCTTCCAAATTTGCCAGACTTGACTGGATTGCATCTCCTACAGGAATGCTAAAGGAAAAGCCCAAGGGGTCCAATGACCGGTTTAAACAGAAAACAAGAGAAAACATTTGCAGCTTTATTTGGAAAGAACTGGGTTTGGACAAAGGAACTAGTAAGTTCCTCTAAGACTCATCTGGAACAACTGACATTTAGAAAGAAAGAAAGAAAATCTTGGAAACAGAAAAATCTGATGCAGTAAGTTAAAAGGAAGGCTGGGTGACTTCAAATTATGGTGTGGGTCTCCCTCTCTGATTCAGCATCGCATCAACTACTCGCGCACGGACTCCAAAGAAGCTCTGGTGGGAACTGCAGCGGAGAAGATCCCTCTGAAGGCTGCTCCGATTTGCCAGCAGCCAAAAGGTTTCCCGGAAAGAAGTAAAAAAGGCCACTTACTTTGGTGTACTTAATTTCCAGGTTGAGGGTGGGCGAGGGCAGCAAGTGCAGAGAAGCCATCAGAGCCGCCGGATCCGCCTTCATTCCAGCAGGCATCTCAATTTTGCTTGAAGTCATCGCGTCTCCCACCTCTGTCTCTTCCAGCTCTTTCCAGTTCTGTCCCCGTTATCTGGCTGAAGATGATGATGACGGGGGGGGGGGAGGAGAGAGAGACAGAGAGACAGCGAGAGAGCGAGGCAGAGAGACAGAGAGAGTTGATCTACGTTATTCCCCGTCCCCCAAGACGAGTGCTGAAGATGTGGCCGCTCTCCTCTAGGCAGGTGTTAAGGCAGCCGCTTCTTATATAGGCCCCGAGGGCAGGGCCAAAGAGGCCGGACCGTCCTACCTAGAACGGAGGCTCTCCGTTTACACGAGTCCCTCTGCTCCCCACCCACCCCGGCCTTGGAGGGCGCTCAAAAGGCAACAGGTCTTCCTCCCGGCTGGCAGTCGTCCAGGCAGCGTCCCTCTCTTCTCCAGGGCTTCCTCGGATGCCCGTATGGGAGGAAGGGGAGAGCGAGGAAGGTGCAACGGGGGCTCCTGATGGGCAGGGAGGAGAGCAGAGAAAAGAGAACGCTTTCTCGGGATAATGAAAGGAGAATTAGCACCCGGGTCTTCCACGCAGCGCAGCCGAAAGCCAGCCGGAGACGGGCAGAGGCTGCAGAAGGGGAAGGGGCTTCCTACAAGCCGTCTAATTAAGCACCCGTTGCGGGTGGGGGAGGAAAGTCATCAAGATGTCAGACCCAGAAAATCTATCCGAGGGTGCAACTGCGCTCTCAATGCAGCTGGTGGCTGTGCAAAATTCTGGTGCGGCTCTTGTATGGATCTCCCATGGCCGTCTCCACCAAGCGAGTGCTGGAATTCAGCCTCAGTTTCCTCTCTGAAAATGGGAAGATCCCATGGGAACAAATGTGGAGTTGAGAATAAACGAAGGGACAAAGAGAGGAAATCAGGTTTTCTTCCCCTTTGCACCCCAGAAAGGGGAAAAGACACCCTTGCCCGAGCTTGCAGGAACGACCCCTAGCTCTGGGCCTGCAGAGCAAATGGGTCTGCTTGAAGGTGCCTCGGGCAGCGGGGGCAACGGAGAAGAGCAGAAATGGCCGACACCCAGAGGAGGGGCGGCCTCTTGGCAGTGGGGGCAAAGGCCCAGGCAGCGCCAGGATCGGGGCGAAGGAGCCCTGCTGTTTGCACCCCATTCTGCAGGGAGCAAACTTGTCCCCTCAGGCTCAGGAGGGGGGCAGTTGCAGGGAAGCCCCTTGGCCTTCTGCCCCAACCGGGGGGGGGGCTTCTGAATCTCGCTGGCCTCTGCTCCTGGCTTCCCTACGAGGGCCGTTTTATCTTGAGAATCGCCAAGCGGCCTCCAGCGTTCGACGTCTCCCTGCATGAAAAGACAGAGAAACTCTCCTCCATGGTCCCCACCCTGTAGAAGGCTCTTGCCCGCCGTGGGTGCCCGCTTGCCAGCGAGCCAAAGGTCTTGGGGGCCACCGGCTCGGGCCCCTGGAAGATTTGCCTGGCCCAGGTGGACGAGGCCGCCCGGCCCGGCCCGGCCCGGCCCAGCCTAGCCTTCCCGAACCTGGACGCAGCGCCACCCGCGGCATCTCCTGCGCGTTTGCTGCCCTCTGCTGGACATGGATGGAAGTGGCCTTTCTCTCGCGTTGGTCGGCGACCTGGTCTCAGCGGGGTGCCTTCCTCTGCGAGGCTCTCCAGCTTTTCCGCCGTCTGGGGTGGGGGGCTGAGGAACAAGACAACAAGATTTGCAGAGGGGATGAAGATCATTTCATTAACTTGGAAGAGAAGTGATGAACACCGCGAAGGAAGGAAAGAAGGAAGAAACTCATTCAGGGGACATTTGAGGGAGGATCTGACAAATAGTAAAATGAAGCCCCCCCCGCTTCAAAGGCAGTCTAACTTTGAATGGCAGATGGAACGTCCATCTCCATCTTAGATCGGGCAAAATAGTTCCTACATCCCGGTGCTTCTTATATTCTCTTATGCTTCGGTATTTCAGCTTTGGGTATTATCCCTCATTAATTGCTTTCCAAGGTGACTTGTGATTTAATTGTAGGGCCAAGAAAGGACCCCTCTGGCCTCCCTTCCGCGCGTTAATTGAATCAATTCTTTAAGTGCCTCTGAACCCGGGGAGATTTCGGAGCAAGCAATTTCTGGCTGCAAATGACAGCTGCGTGGGAGAGCCAGAGGCGCGGCCGATCGGGGCTTTCCCCGGCCCAAATGTCGCTCCTCCGGAACTTTCTTGAAGGAGAAGCAGCATCTCCGGGGGAGTCTGCCCCTGCTTGAGCAAGTTGACCCTGCCCTGCCAGCCTGGGCGCGCGCCCCCCTTCCAGGCTCCGGGCCTACTCGGGCAGCAGCAGCTCCCGGGTTCCGCAGCTCCCGTTCTCCCGGCGCTTGTCGGAGCGCAAGGCTGCCGACAACACTAGACAGAGGCCAGGCAGGCGCAAGCCGGCCGACAGAAGCCACGCGCGTCGGGGGGACTTCTTAGGACGCGGTTTCAGGCTGGGGGGGGGGACGAGGCGGGGCGAGGCTGGGAGTTCTGCCTGCGGAGAGGCCCGGGACCTCTTTCCCCGCCGTCGAGAGTCTGGACGACGGGGGAGGATTTCCCCAAAGTGCCCCCACTCCGCCACCAGCCGAGGCTGCTCGGGGCGGACCCCTGATCGGTCAGGCCCAGCAAAGCTCTTCCGAGGGGGGCTATTGGCGCGTCGGCGCAGAGCCCCCTTGAGCGAAGGGCTCCGCGGCCAGCACCATGGAGAGCTCCACCGGTCTGGCCGCCCAGGCTCCCTCGGGGGATGAGGGAGGCAAAGGGAGGCGGCCCCGGGCACAGGCGGCTCCTCCGGTCCCCCCCACCCCGCCTTCAGATGGCCTGGCGAGCAGAGGACGCCCATGGGCACACCAGGGAGGAGGAGGAGGAGGAGATGACACCTGGGGATTCCTGCCTCTGCCAGAGAGAGGGGGCCAGGGGTTCCCCCATTGCCCTCCTTTGGGGAGCAGCCCCAGCAACCCACAAGCCCTCTCGGGGGGGGGGCGCTGAAAGGTCAGCACAGGCCATTTTAGCTCTCTCCCTCTCCTCCCCCAGCATCTCCAGCGCCCTCTGGAAATCATGTCCCCACATCTGATGGGAGCTTCCCCTCCATCTGCACGTCAGGATCTCAAGGAGAGTTGAGAAGGCCAAGCTGGCTTTGCAACTCCTGCTTCTTGGTTTCTTCTCCCCTCACCCCCCCCAAAGGACGTGTTACAAGTACATCTGACAAAGAACGTAGGGAGATACCTGTTTATGGAGTCCAGGATGGTCACTTGAGGTAAGCTTTGCTTTTTCTTTGCCCTTCAAACATGAAAGATTGATAGTGCTAAGAACTTCTCATGAGGCAGGGAGTTCCAGAGGCCAGAGTCTGAGCAGAAAAAGCACTGGTCCTTTTGCCCTCAGGATGGACTGGGGCCTGAAGAGCACCTTCCCAGCCCCAGAGGGAGCCCTCGCATGCCATGGCCACTACAGCCAGGGCCACACTGCTGCTTGGCAATGCCTTGCTGCTTCTTCCATTTTCAGCTCTACTTTACTTCCTCCTCATTCGTCCCCCCCAAATTTACTCTCAGAGAAATGCATCAAACCTGGAAATGGGGTGACCTTTTGGCTAATGGACACTGTCTAATTGAGCAGATGCCATTAACCATTGTACTCCCTGAAAATCCCATTCTCCCCCCCCCCATTCATCATTGCTAATGCTCCCTTTTCTTCTCCCACTTACATTTTTCATTTTTACCCTTTCAACCAAAGGAATAAGTCTTCCATCTAATTAGGCAAAGATACATATTCAATTAATACAGTCATTATGCCTTAATGAATACTGGTGAAGGCAGCCAAGGCTTCTGCTGGCAAGGCCCCATTTCTTTGCCCTGATTCCCTCTTCCAGCAATAGGGAGGAGGCAGGGCATGGACGACCCCCCATTGTGCCACTGAGGGCCAGGCACTGGCCATGCCTGACCTCCCCCACAAGGCCGGTTGGGGCAAAAGAGGCACCTCTCTGGCCAGGCCAGTGGAAGGGGCTGAGCCACCCAAGGCCAGGGGCAGGAAAGAAGACTCAGTTTCCTCTCTGGCAGCAGCAGCAGTGCCTGGCATGTAGGCCCAAGGGCGATGGGGGGGGGGAATAGCTCTTTGGCTCTTTTCCCCTGCAGTTGTTGTTCCAGGAAATGCGGCAGGGTCACAAAGGCAGGACGTTTCCTTTTGTTTCGTTTATCCCTCACGGCCGGCTTCCTTTGACACCAGCCCAGCAACCGGGGGCAAACTGCAAACTGGAGCAAACAGAACAAGCCCAGCAGTATCTGCACTTCCATCATGAAAAACATGAAAATTAAACTTTTGCACATGCCCTGCACTCCCACCCCGTGCACAAAAGGAAAGTGAAGCTCCCCAAAAGGGAATAAAATTGCTCCCCTTTCTGGCATGTTGTGTGGGGAAATTCCCACAGCAACACGGTGGGAGTGCAGGAAGGCAGGAGCGCATCTGGAGGTGCTTGGGACTTGCAGAGCCGTCGATCACTGAGGATTCAAATACAGCTGCTGCAGCCTTCGGACCCCGCGGCCCCCAGCTGCCAAAGTTTCCTTGGGTCTGCTTGGAATTACCCCTCTCCCAGCCAGATGCAGGGACCCTTGGTCTTTAGCCAACTGGACCACCGCAGCCTCCATGCTGGAGCTGGACCACTCTGTGCCTCTGGCGAACTGTGAGGAAAGGCTGAGTGAAACCTCACATAAATGGACAGCAGACTCACCACTGAACTTTATTTTTGGAGGCCTGCAGTGAGTCACGAGAAGCTGCTTTGCTTGCCTTCCAAGTGGGAAAAAGTCCCATTTCTGGAGCTGTTTATTTAGCCAAGAAAAATCAATGTTGATCAAAGAAGTTACGAAACCATCCTTGTCACAAGGACATAGAAAACATGGCTTCTCCCCTTCTCCGCATCTAGAATAAAGGGTTCATTGATGAAACCGTTGAGAGAAGTTTCAGGAACAAAAGGAGATGAGGCAGTGCAGAATTCACCTATAGAACTCCCTGCCACAAGATGTGGCAATGGCTAAGGGAAGCGTGCAGATTGCTGGCAGAGAATCAGCCTCTTGTGGCTTCCTGCTGGGAGGTTCATGCTTTGGGGCCAGAGAAATGGGTCTAAATGTTCTCACCAGGGCAAGGAGACAGCCTGTGCCCCAAGCCAGGAGTGGAACCTGCGGCTTAAGTGTGCCTGAACACATCTCTTGGCAGCCTCGAAGGGCTCTGTGGCACCAGCCAATCACCAGCCGGCCTGTGGCAGCTATATAAAGACAGGCTTCCTTTCTCCACTCTCCTTTTTCTCCTGCACCTTCACAGGGTTTAGCCACCACAATCGTGTGTGTGTGTGTGTGTGTGTGTGTGTGTGTGTGTTATTTGTGCAATTGTGCTGCAAGTGAGGGGCTGCCCTGCCTTATCTCTGGCCTGATATAAATAGCCTGGCGCATGCCGGGAAGGCAGCACTGGATGGGGTCTCTTGAAGAGTGATCCGGGAAGGCAAAGGGAGGCCCAGACACCCCCAGGCTGGTGAGAACCGCAGTTGTGGGGCTCTCTGCCTTCCTTGGATGAGGAGTGGGCTGAAGCTCAAGAGAGCAAGAGGGACACACATTTGACCGCACATTTTCCAAGTCAGAACAAACAAGAAGAGGAGACGCCAGGATGACAAAGAAAGCAGGAAAGAGCCTGAAAGAAAAAGTGGCCCTGAAGAACCACCTGCTGAAGGAAGCGCTGGCCGAACTGGGGACCTTCGTCTTGGTTGTAAGTAGGGCCCCTTCCCTCCCTCCCATGTGCGAGGTTGGGTGCTGGAAATGTTGCTCAGAAATTAATGTACACAGAAATTGCTGTTGCAGCTTGTTGGGTGGGCACTAGTTTGGCCAGCCTTGTGAAGAAGACCTGAGCCTGTTTCTATCCCAGGCCTCCGACTGTCTTGGGGCACTTCTGCTACTCAGAGTGCATTCTCTCTGCATCAGGGCTGATCCCCGGGGTGAGACGTGATCCAGCTTACAAATCAGAAAGAGAGGGAGGGAAATACGAACAAGGGGATGATGTGCCCAGGCCAGTTCCAGCTCTGGTGTAAAATTCGGTCCCTGCCCTATTGAGAGGAGCCATCCCATCAGGAACCACGACGGACCATTTACAGCCCCGGGTGCCAATGCAGCACCCCTTTTTTCTCACGTCCATCAGCAACGGATGTTAGACATTCTTGCAAACCAGGAAAGATAAACCACAACATCCCTGGGGTGTCTGAGGGGTTGGTTGAACTGCTCATTAATCAACTATCAGACAGCAGAAAGCTAGACTGGCATAGACTTGGCTGTTACCATGACCCACCTCTCCTGTCTCTGTTCTCAGCTGCTGCCAGGCCTGGCCTCTCATTCAAGGTGACAAAAGCAGCTGGGCTCTGTGCTTGAGTTGCCCTTGGCAAGGTCAGCCCAAGAGGCAGACACGGGACTTGCTCAGGGATGCAGTTACCATCCAGACTGTGCCATGGCTCCATGAAGACAGGGTCCCTTCTGGAGACCTTGCTCAAGACAGGATCCTGCTTGGCTCCTTGGGAGGACCGGAGTTGCAATGCAAGCTCCTTGGAATAAAGAGTGCCTCCTATTCTAAGCTAATCCAGACTTTTCTGAGAGGCAGAGTTTGTAGCTCTGCATATTTCTACATTTCACTTAACTACTCATAAAATGAAGCAGCCAAAGTGCCAGGGAGCAGTCCACCCTTTGAGATTTCTGTTTACATTAGGATCTCATCCCAGCAACGGACAAGGCCACAGCCAGGAAAGGGTGAAGCTGCAGGCTTGATTCTGACCTTTGTTTAAAGGCATTTATTTGCTTTACTAATGTGTGAGAGGTTTTCCCTTTCAACCTTGCAGTTGGGGGTAGAGCAAGATGGGTGGGCTCAGAGCTGCACCCATGACAGGATCAAGGAGGAGACCCATCTGGACGAGTCTCAAAATCCAGGCTGTGGAAGCCCCCTTTGGCCTGTGGCAGAGGCTGGCTTCCCCTTGGAGTAAGCCTCTGTCTTCAGAGACCACAACCTGAGAGTCAGGGAGAATCCGGTGGTTTTAACAGGACAACTGATTTGCAGCTAAGCCGGTGGCTGAAGACGCATCTCTTGGTGGGACTTGTCTTTCCAAGCAGCCATCCTCCTCTCCCCCAGCCAGCCCCCCCACCCCCACCCTATGCCACCTGAAACAAATGCAGACCATGCTTGTGCAAAGCACTTCACAAGCTTCTTTGCCCCCTTGAAGAATCCATGTTCAATTCCACAATCAGCTCCGAGCAAGAACTGCCTAGGTCAAAAGATGATTTCACGCTGGAAAATATGGATGGGGGGGAGTTCCTGCCCCTTGCAGACCTTGCTCTGCCCAACTGGTACCCGAGTTCTTGTCTTGGGTTCTCAAAGGGCCAGAACTTGATTCTGTAGCCTGGTCTCTTCGGTCTTCAGAGCTGCCTCTTTGGGGAGCCTCTTTCCAGGCCAATCCTTTCCCAGACATCTACTTAGCTCTTTCCAGCACAGGTGACCCCCAACAACCCCTACCCCAAACAGGCAGCAGGAGACACAGGGGCTGTGTAGTCAGAGTCAAAGGTTAGCCAAGCAGAGGCAAGTTTGTTTTCCTTTACCGGCTGCCCCATGTCCAGGAAGAGAAAAGGGGGAGGGGTTGGGTGACTTTCTGAGGAGGAGCCCAGGAAGATGGACCCCAGAAGGGACTGATGTCAGCAGAAGGCCTCCGGACCCACACCAGCTACGGCGCTGGGTCTTTCCATTGGGATGGCACCTGGCTGGCAGACGCTTCCCCTACACGCTGGGCTGGAGGCTTAATACTTGCTCTATCCGATGCCTCTTTGATGGCAGCTTGGTGCCGTTGTTTGCTCCTCATTTTTGGTGATTTCACCCTTGCAGGTTCTGTATTAACTTGTTGCCCAACGCAACATTCTCCTCTGCTCAGTTCCTCCTGCAGGTGGGCTTGTTGTGAGAGCAATGACAGATCATGTGTGGGTGGTGGGCGGACGCAAAGCGGATTTAATGCCTGTTTGATTTGATGCCTCTTTGCTAACAGCTTGGGGCCCTCAGGTGTTTTCTACTCGTGGAAAGCCTGAGTTTTGGTGATTCCACCATTTGGAGAGTTCTGTTTTAACTTGTTTCTCAAGACAAATCGAGGCAGGAGAAAGAGAGGGAACACACCACTGCCATGCCCGAAAGGAACCTGCTGATGCTCGGATGGTGCACCTGCCCAAGAATACGTCGCTTGCCCAATGTCCAGCTTTCTTTTCCCCTCTCTTGGTTTCTTCTCAGTCCAGAGAGAAATCCGTCCCTCCCAGCAGCTTCTTCTGTCGCGGCTCCTTTTTGCTTGGCGCCCCAGTCTCTGCTCTCTGGCCCATTCCATGGCTGGCTCCAGGTTCAATTAAAGGGAGGGATGGGATGGCCCAGGGAGTGCTGCAAGAAATCTCTTCTTGGCATCAGAAGCCTTGAGACACAACCCCAAGGCTGGCTTGGCACCAGCTTTTATACAATCAGGGTGGAATGCAGATGTACAACTTTCCTTTGGAATCCCAGAAGACACAGGAATATCTGCCTAGAAAAGATGGCTCAGGCCACTGAAAGGCATTATAGCCATCAGCAGCACCATCACCTCCCTTTTAGTGCCCCCTCCCCACCTGACCACTTGATACTTGCTCAGAAAGTCCTGAAGATCCAATGGCCACAGTGGTGGCCATGGGCTTGGAGGGGGGGGCACGTGTCCTTGGGTAGTTCCTGTCGCTTATCTCCCTCAAGGTCACCTTCCTTACTCTCTGCAACTCCAGACAGCCACATTTTCGACTAGATGAGTTGTGGCCATCAGAGGCCATCACCTCACTTGCAGGCAAACTTTTTTTTGCATCCTGGGAAGTTCCAAATTTCATGAAGGGCTGAGATAGTGTTCTGCTCTCTCACACACAAACCCTTTCCTTCGTCTGAGATCCTGCTCCCCAACACTGGCTTGAAGGGCAGTGGCACCTTCCTTTCCCGCAATGCCCCCAAGGCCTCTTGGTCTGCAGGGACCCGGTGGGGCAGGAGCTGAGGCAGTTTGGGAGGGGGCAGCCAGCCCAGCTGCCTGGCAACTGATGCTGGGTGATCCTGGGTGAGGAAAGGGAAAATGCTTGTAGGGGAAGCTCTCCCTTTCCTACCCAAGGAGCCCACTACCAATCAGGCTGCTGTTTTTATACAGTGGAGCAGGGGAAAGAAAAGTAAAAGAATTGCTGATTGGTTACAAGGTTACAAAGTTACATGACAGTCACACACCTACATAAGGCAAAGCCATCCCATAATACATACTAGTTACTCCTACCTCATTACCATACATTGGCAAGTCAGCTATCCTGGGTGTGTTGTTTATTGTGCTAACGATAAACTCTGTTCCCCCCAGGACCCTTGTCCGGGTGCCAGTCACCTTCCTTGCTCGCCAGGAGGGGCTCCCTTGCCAGGACAGAGTCAGAGGCGCCTCCGGACAGTCTGTCTTATGCAGCAGCCCTTTGCCTCCTGCAGGGTTGTGCGGGAGCCCTCTGGCTCTCACTGGCTGCGGTTAAAAGAAATGTTACTTTTTGCAGAAAAGATTGTCTGGGCAGCAAGTAAATCAGATAAATAAATTGATAAAGTCGATCTATAGCTTACAAAAGCCTCTAGTTACTTATTTATAATTAACTTGTCTAGCAGAGCCTGTTCAAAATGCCCCAGAAGTTCCTCCCCTCCCTTCTTCTTGGGGCGCCTTGAGGGGCAGGGGGGAAATGCTCTGGAGAAAGCACAGAGGCCTCCATTTCCTTCTAAATCATTTTTTTCCTTCCAGAGGTCCTGACTGAAAAGGTTCTGAGTAGCCCCCCTCTTCTCAAAAGAGCTTTCAGGCTGACAAAATAGGCATGTTTAAACTGTAGGCTCCACACCCCATTTTGCCTAATGGCTCCCAAATGATTTAATCATTGTGACTGATTAAAAGAGAAAGAATTTAACCACAATATGGATAAAAGGTCTAAATATAAGTCCATTCCATAAAACCCCAAATCTTTTCTGCAAGCAACCACTGCAGTGCCGGAGAATCTGGCCCTTTTGTTCACAGAACCATTAATCTTGAGCCTTCCTGTTAAACAAAAGGGGGTTTTCATCCAACAAATATTTGTCTGACACAAACTATGCACAAAAATTATGGCACATCAGAGCCATAAGCAAAGATATGCAAAAGGCCCTATGTAGTCTTAAAAGAATGACAAATTGCCTCTCTCTCTCTCTCTCTCTCTCTCTCTCTCTCTCTCTCTCTCTCACACACACACACACACACACACACACACACACAGAGAGAGAGAGAGAGAGAGAGAGAGAGAGAGAGAGAGAGAGAGAGAGAGAGAAATACACTTTAGTCCAGGGCAAGATGTTCAGATGATGCCACCTGGAAAGAATCCGCTTCTAGGGATCCGGGGCCTGTTTCCCACAGAAACAAGCAGGGGGGACCTCTGGTGGGTGGGAGATACAAGCTGTCTCTGGCTGACGATAATTTGGTTTTGAGTGGTGTAAAAATGCATCTCAGCCACAAAGAACTCTGCACAGTCTTTGCAACAAACAACAAACAGCTCCAGGAGGGTCTTTGTACCACCTGGGCGAAAAGGTGAAGGGCCCCCAGAAATGGGAAGGCCTAACTGCTCAGCTGGTGGGAAGCAGTTTTTCTCACCCTTTTCTTTCTGAAACCACAGGCCCTGGGCTGTGGCTGCGTGGCACAAACGGTCCTGAGCAGAGGGGTCCTGGGAGGAGCCCTGATGATCTCTGTTGGCTTCGCCATGGCCGTCACCGTTGCCATCTACGTGGCCGGGGGCATCTCTGGTAAGCCGGCATTTGCCACCCATCGGTTTGGGAAAAGGAGGGGTGGGCGGCTGCCTCATTCTTGCAGCTGGAGCTTCAGCCCCTTGCTCAGAAGGTCAGCCCTTCCTTCCTCTGAGAGTCCCGAGGGCAGCAAAGGGTGGGGAGCCTCCTCCAGCCCGCACACAGATGATCAGCCTTCAGATGTGCTAGTCTCAGGTTGGGGAAAGCAAGTCTGGCACACCAAGGACAAAGCGGCTTCAGAGGGCATCTCATAAAGGCTGCAAGTGGGCCTCGGGAAAGTCTCTGGTGCAAAGAGCGGTTGTGTCTGTGAGCTAAGAGGTGTATTGTGGCACAACGGAAGCAGATGAGGAGAGATTTCAAGCTGGGATCTTTCAAAATGTCTGCCCTCTGTTTTCTCGCCTTTTGCAAAGAGATGCGGAGACATGAGCATGCCAGACCAAACTGGGGGGGGGGAAGTTCCATTAGCACATGGTTTTCTTATCAGAGAGAAAGGAATATGGCCCTGCAAAGGAACCCTGGGAAAACAGCCCCCCCCCAGCACAAGACCTAGTTATGCCTGCAAGCCAAGAAACTTTTGGGGTCAGAGCCTCTTTCGGAGGGGGAGAAGGGGCCTCCAGGGCTCAGCTGGAGGAGCCCCTGCTTGGGTCTGCCTTCTTCGGAGCTCCAGAACTTGTGGGAAATGACATTGGATACCCACATTCGGGGGGGGGGTGTTGCCAAAACTCCCGTCCCATGATTGGAAGCCTGAGGCAGTGATCTTGAACCCGATTCCAAAAGCCCTGTTTTGTTCCTCGGCCGTGACCCCCGTCTGCCCAAACTGAGTCTCTGGTGATCCGCAGCAAGTACTGCTTCTCTCTTATTCATCCATGGATGGTCTTCTGAAATAAACCATTAACCTTCACCCAGGACTTAAAGGATATAAATAATTGGATCCCATAATCAGGCCTTAAAAGAGACAATGAAAATGTCACCTCTTGAGGGCTTCATATCTCAAGTGACAGATACATATTCCGGTCAAACAGTCATCCCCAGTGCTCCCCCAAGGCAACCTTCATCGGAGCATGTCAGAAGTGCAGTGATTTATCTGCTATTGCTTGCCAAGTGCCATTCCAAAGGGTATTGAGGAAATTGGGTGATGGGATGCTCTCCACCTCAGACCTCCCCCCTGGAAACCAGGCTGTCAGGAGAAGTCCTAGAGAGCCCCCCGGCAAGCGCCCGCCCGCCCACCCACCCATGGCCCAGGCAACTGCTGGGGGATGGTCCAGCCTGGGTTCTACGACGAGACCTCCAGGATTGCCCTGCCTGTCCTGGGATGGGGGCTCGGCGGAGCCCACATTCCCAGGAGACCCAACCCAAGGATCATCTCCGTGGCAGCTCATGCTGAGCAGCCTGGAGAAGTGATCCCAGGGACCAAGAGGGGGGCATCCACCAGCCTCTTTCTCTCTTCCTCGTCTCCAGGGGGTCACATCAATCCAGCTGTCTCCTTCGCCATGTGCCTGACTGGGAAGATGAAATGGGTCAAATTCCCCGTTTACGTCCTAGCACAATATCTGGGTGCCTTTCTTGGAGCCGCTGCAGTCTTTGGCATCAACTACGGTGAGCGGAAGAGGGCTGCCTTCTTTACCCTGGCTGGGATTTATATTGAAAATTTTTATTTTTTTTTTCCATTTAAACATTATAAAAATACAATACAATTTTAATTTTAAATAAGATAAATTCATAACCATTGGTGCAACCCGCCCACTCCCCCCAGGCTGCCGTCCACCCTTTCTTAAAACATTCCCTACTTCCCTCCTCTTTCTCTCCTCCCCTCCTACTCTTTTCCCTTCCCCCTCTCCTCTCAATATCCTACTTCCTCTCTATACCTTCTCTCCTCCCATCCCTATCAAACCCATGAACGCAGCATAAGGGGAGTGCCCGGTGCACTCCTATAAACAACCATTATCTATACTACACTTACCCCCCCCTTACCCTCCCTCCCGCCCCCAACCCCCCTCCCTCACTTCCCAGAGCAGAATACAGGGTTAATAATAACAAAATTTATAATAATAAAAAGAAAAAAGAAAAGAAAAAAGAAAATATCATAATTAACCTTTAACTCCATAACCTATAAAACAATTCTCTATAATATTTATTATAATATTCATTCATAAAATAAGTGAAACTTTTTAATTCCATACTTTTTCTGAATATAATCTATCCATCTTCTCCACACAGTGATATATCTTTCTTATGTATGATCCTTTAAATAAGCAGAAATTTTTGCCATTTCTGCAAAACTAGATACTTTAAATGTCCATTCTTCTAAAGTAGGCAAAGAATCTTTCTTCCAATATGAACCTACTGATAACCTTGCTGCAGTTACTAAATTCAACATCAAGATAGTTTCTTTTTCATTTAAATCAACAAAAATACCCAATAAAAATAGTTGAGGAGTAAACTTTATCTTCCTTCTAAAAATCTTTTGAATGTTCCACCAAATCATAATCCAAAAAGCCTTTACTTTTTTACAATTCCACCAAATATGAAAATATGTTGCATCATTATTACCACATCTCCAACATTTGGGCTGTATATTAGAATACATACAAGATAATTTTTTAGGATCTAAATGCCATCTATAAAACATTTTATAAAAATTTTCTCTCAAATTTTGAGCTTGTGTAAATTTAACATTTCTAGTCCAAATTATCTCCCATAAGTCCAATGAAATCGGTTCCTGTATATTCTGAGCCCATTTAATCATACAATCTTTAACCAATTCTGTTTCCGAGTCTAACTCTAATAATACATTGTAAATTCTTTTTATATGAGCCGGGCTCTGATTTTTAATCTGAATAACCAATTGTTTATCTTCTAATGTTATTCCCTCTTTCTTATCTACAGTCCATCTATCCGCTATTTGTAAGTATTGAAACCATGACTGTAGAATATTTTCCTGCCTTAATACATTTAGGGATTTCAAATGCCAATTCAAACCAGACCAGATTAACAATTCTTTATACGAAATTTTATCACAATTTATCCCCTTAGAATAGTGGTTCTCAACCTTTCTCATGTTGCGACCCCATAATACAGTTCCCCATGTTGTGGTGACCCCCAACCACTTATACATCACCGGGTGCCAGGGGCATGGCCAAAGAAAAGGGGGAAAAAATGGCGGACAGCCTTGTTTGGCGACCCTCGTGAAATGGTCGTTCGACCCCAAATGGGGTCCCAACCCACAGGTTGAGAACCACTGCCTGTCTGGGAATCCCCCAAATAGGTATTTTATAATTTAATCTATAATAATACTTTTTCCAGACACGAAGTAGGGCATTCCTCAAAATATGTGATCTAAAAGTCCGATCGACTTTCTTGTTAAAAATTAAGTATGCATGCCAACCATATATTAAATCCCAACCTTCCAAAAAAAGAATATCCATATTTGTTAAATTAAGCCAATCACTTAACCAAGTTAAGGCGGCTGCATCATAATATAATTTCAAATTTGGTGCCTTAAGTCCCCCTCTTTCTCGAGCATCCTGTAATATCTTAAACTTAACCCTTGGTTTCTTCCTGGCCCATATAAAATTGTTGATACCCTTTTGCCATTCATCCAGATTTGCCTTTTTTTAAAAAAATAGGTATCATCTGAAACAAAAAAAGAAACTTTGGTAGAACATTCATTTTTACAGCTGAAATTCTCCCCAACAATGACAATTGCAATTTTTTCCAGTCTTTTAAATCCTTTTGTACTTTTACCCATAATGGTTCAAAATTATTCTTATACAATTTTCCATTTGAAGCAGTTAAGTATATTCCCATATACTTAACCTTTTTTACCATCTGAAAACCTGTGGCTTTAATCCAACTTTCCCTATCCTTAACTGACATATTCTTAGATAATATCTTGGTCTTATAATTGTTAACTTTAAAACCAGAAACATTCCCATACTGTGTTATAAGTTCTAATAAACAGTCAATCGCTTGATTCGGTTGTTCCAAAAATAAAACCAAATCATCCGCGAAAGCCCCCAATTTATACTCATTCTTCCTTATCTTTACACCCTTGATTAACTTTGATTCTCAAATCTGAATCAATAAGATTTCCAGCGTTAAAACAAATAACAATGGGGATAATGGACATCCTTGTCTTGTTCCTTTTTGAATATTAAAATTCTCAGTCAATCCCCCATTTACGACAATTTGTGCAGATTGTTGCTGGTATATAGCTTTAAGTGCATATAAAAAATTATCCCCAAAGTTCATTTTCTCCACCAATAAGAATAGAAATTGCCAGTCTAATTGATCAAAAGCTTTTTCAGCATCCAAAAAGATAAAAGCCACAGGAATCTGGTTGTTCTTATCCAAGTACTCAATTAAGTTAATAATTTGTCTAACATTATGTTTCATGTATCTCCCTGTTATAAATCCTGCTTGATCACTATGAATCAAATCTTTCATAACCTGCATTAATCTATTTGCTAAAATTTTTACAAAACTCTTATAATCAACATTTAATAATGAAATTGGCCTATAATTCTTAGGCTCTGTAAGATCCTGATCCTCCTTCGGAATCAATGATATAAAAGCTCTTTTCCAAGAAGGAGGAACTTGCATACCCAACAAAATACTGTTAAAGAGTTCCTTTAATGGCCCTATCATTTCTTCAGATAAAATCTTATAATACCTCGAGGTCAGTCCATCTGTTCCAGGAGACTTTCCAACCTTTAACTGCTTGATAGCTAAACCAATTTCCTCCACAGTAATTAAACTATTCATCCCATTTTGTTGTTCCTCTGAGAGTTTAGGAAAATGTACTGATTGTAAATATTTATCTATGTCAAAACCCTTTATATTATCACTTGAATATAATTTTGTATAGAAGTCTAAAAAACTCTTTTTAATCAGATCTTGCTGAAAAACCTCAGTACCTTTATATTTTACTTTCTCTATAATTCTAGCTTTCTGTTTCTTTCGTAACTGATAAGCCAACCACCTCCCAGGCTTATTCGCATTACAAAAAGTATTATGTCTCATATACGACAGATTGGTAGCCACCTGATCTGCCATCAACATATGAAATTGTTCCTTAAGCATCTTTATGGATATCTTTAAATTATTATCAGTTGGGTTAAGAACCAATTCTTGTTCTTTTAATTTAATCTCTTCTTCTATTTCTCTACGTCTTCGTAACCCTTTTTCCCTAAAAACTTTATTCAATTGAATCAAAATTCCCCTCATATATGCCTTACTGGCATCCCAAACCATAGACATTGATGTACCCTTATTCATATTTATAGCAAAAAAATCCTTTAAATACTCTTTACGCTTTTGTACGAACTCTTCCCGATTAAACAAATTCTCATTCAGTCTCCAAGATCTTCTATTCCCATCTTCCAGATATAGTTCCATCCACACCGGACTGTGATCTGACAATGTTCTGGGAAAAATTTTCACCTTCCTCACTCTAGAGAGGAAGTCATTAGTGATCAAAAAAAAGTCAATCCTTGAAAATGACTGATGTCTATCCGAATAGAAAGTAAAGTCTCTGTCACTTATATTCCTTTCTCGCCAAATATCAGTAAGCTCCAATTCTTCTTTCAAATAAAAAAAAGTCGTAGGTAATTTGGTTTGGGTAAAAGTTTTAGAAGAGCTCCTCTTGTCCATAGTTGAATCTAAAACCCCATTCCAGTCACCCATCAAAATTACCGATTTGTAATCCAACTGAGATATCTTCCCATGCAGCAACTTATAACCCTGGCTGGGATTTCATATAGGAACCCAAAAACGTTCTTGCAAAATTAGGTGATTCTTTTTCCCCAGACGAGCCAGACTTTGTGACCATTTTTGTGCACCGTTTGTCCATTGTGGAAACCCCCAGGAGGTGCTTTGGAGCAGAGATTTTCCTTCCCCCCCCCCCCCCGAAGGCAGCTGCAGCCCAAGAAGCCAGTTTCACTTTCAAAGGTGCTTTTCCAAGGGGCAACTGAACTTCCTTTTTTTCTTTGTTTTGTTTCTCGTCCAAGAAATTTCTTTAGCTCAGAGCTTCTTCAACTTCTTGGATGAGAAGCGAAACATCTTCAAAGAAAAACAATAAAGTCCAGTTGCCCCTTGAAAAAGCACCTTTGGGACAACCAGGACGTGGACGACGGAGAATCCTCATAGACAGGTTCGCTGGCTTCAGTGCTCTGGAAGGAAACAAGAAGCATTTTGTTTGAGAACTGGAAAAGGGGTTCTTCACATCTAAGCAAGGCGTCCTTTCCTGTTTCTTGCAAAGCCCGATCCGACCGTCCCTCTCTCAGGACTTGGCTCTTCTGGGGCAAGGAGGGCTGTGAGGGCGTCCCTTCCCTCTCCCAGGCTGCCTTCTAAGGGCCCAGCATTGCTTCCTGTCGCTTCTTCCACAGACGCACTCATGTTCTACACCAATGGCATCTTCGCTGTCAAAGGACCGAATGCCACAGCGCACATTTTTGCAACATACCCTCAGGAATATTTGTCCCTGACCAATGGCTTTGCAGACCAGGTAAGGAGTGGGTGGGCTACTTGGGTGGGTGACCTGCTTTGCTTCTTTTGGGAGGGATTGTGACTTTCCCTGGCCCCAGGAAGGAGCAGGACAGAAGCCGGGGTCTTCTTAAGGCTAATAAAAGGCACCTCCATGGAAAAGGTGGGATCAGTTCCCATCATCACCTGAGGGGCCCCGCTTGCCCTGCCAGCTGCTTTCAAGGTCCGAGGGCTGGGGCCAACCTGGGGCCATCACGGGAGGGGTGAACTCCTTGCCTTTCTCTGCCAGATGATGTCCACGGCCTTTCTTATTCTGGGGGTCTTTGCCATCATCGATACGGACAACTTGGGGGTCCCGAAGGGGATGGAGCCCATCGCCATCGGCCTCCTCATCATACTGCTGACCTCTTCCATGGCCCTGAACAGCGGCTGCGCCATGAATCCTGCCCGAGATCTGGGGCCCCGCCTCTTCACCTACCTGGCGGGGTGGGGGGACGAAGTCTTCACGTGAGTCCTTGGCTTCGGGCAGAGGGGCACCTTTGACCATCAGACATTTCCATCCACATGTTCGTAGCCCCCCCCCGAAGAATCTCCACGGGGGGAGGGCGGTTCAGTTGGCCGCGCGTTTCCTCTGCCCTGAGGGGGCTGGGAGGCTGAGCAGGAGCCTCTTGCCCGAGGCCACCCCACGTCCATCCCTGGAGGATCCAGCCGGGCTGGCTGGCCGGGCTCCCCCACCTCCGTAGCTGGAACAGAGTCCAGGAGCAGCAGGACAGGCGGAGAGCCGATAGGTAGCTCTGCCCTCCCGGTGCCTGGTAGGGCCAGTCCGGCCCGGCCTCGCCTCCTCGGCTGAGCCGGCGCATCGCAGGGCTGCCATCTGGTGGCAAATCACGGCAGTTGTTTTTCACCAGAGCGAGCAACCCAGCGCCCACGCGCCTGCCTTCGCAGGCCCTTTTGTTTAGCATCGGCGACCTTTTAGCTCTGCGTGGAAATTCATTTCCAAATTAAGGGGACTTTGCAGATTGAACAGGCTTAATTCTTCTCGGAAGCAATGCAGTTGCCTCAGGAAGAGGAAGCAGAGCGGCTGTCTGCTGCCCCTTGTTTCTTTAAACAATTGCATGTAATTGGCACCTTGTTCCCTGTGGACCCTCAAAATACATACACAGCAACTCAGCAATGTCACTGTGTGGGTTTTAGGCAAGAAATACAGGCTCCAAGGGAGCTGGTGACTAGTGAGATTAAGTACCCCTAGAGCAACTTTTTAAATCCACAGTAATGAAACTGGCCTATTTTTTTTTTCTCCCACACAGAGCCGGCCATAACTGGTGGTGGGTCCCCATTGCCGGCCCCATGGTTGGGGCAGCCCTGGGAGCTGCAACCTACATGCTGTTCATCGAGGTCCACCACTTCCCCCTCTCCCCCTGCCAGAAGATGGACAGGGGCGCCCTCCATGAACATGAACTGACCCACCTGGAGGAGGGGAAGTAGGGCCCAATGAAGCCCCCTGCCCCACCCCCTTGAGAGGACCACGACCCACAGAAAATAGGTGGCAGGAGTCAGAATCAACAGCCTCTCACCCCTTGCCCTCAAGACAGTTAGGTTTAAATCTGAAAATGATTCATGACATTCCGCCTGCCTCTGCTCCATCCCATCCCCCACCCCGTTCATCAATCTCTATCCCCTCCAAACAACAAAAAGTGCCTGGCACCACCAACCCCCTGCAGTGCTGGGTCAGCTGAGCCGTTTCCACACCTGAGTTGGAAAACCATCCTTGGCTTCAATCTGGGCAGCAGGAGGAGAGCAGCATCCAGAACCAGCTCAGCCCTCCTGGGCACAGAGGTTTCCCACAAAGGAGCTGCCCAGAGAATGGCGCTTCCTGAACTGTTGCAACACCTTTGGCCTTTCTGTATGGGGGAGGGGCTCGTGGAAGAACAGGCTGCCTGGCAAAGTGACCGGCCTCTCTGTTGCTTTCTCCCCCCCCCCACGCAAGCCTTCTCCCCAGCTGCAGCACAGCTGAGTTGCCCACAAAGCTACAACCTTGACCCAGGTGTGTTGTGGAGCTGCAGCTGAACCAAAGGAGGGAGAAGGAGGCCCAGCCAGAGGCACCCAAGGCAGAGGAAAGGGCAGCTCCCCGTGTGGGCCCTGAGCAGCAGCACAAACCCCTCCCCCCAGGCGGTGCAGACAGGGCCGGCTTCAGAAAGAAGCCCTGAGGTGGAGAGCATAGTTTAGAGCAGTGGTTCTCAACCTTCCTAATGCCGCGAGCCCTTAATACAGTTCCTCCTGTTGTGGTGACCCCCAACCATAAAATTATTTTCGTTGCTACTTCATAACTGTAATTTTGCTACTGTTATGAATCGTAATGTAAATATCTGATATGCAGGGTGTATTTTCATTGTTATGAATTGAACATAATTAAAGCATAGTGATTAATCACAAAAACAATATAGCAATGCTCACTGGAGAAGCTTACTCTTCCTTGCTCAAAAATGTTGGGAGGGAGGGAAGGGGAAGGAAGGAAGGAAGATTGAAGGGGAAAGGAAGGAGATGGAGAAGGAAGGAGATTGAAGGAGAGGAAGGAAGGAAGATTGAAGGGGAAAGGAAGGAGATGGAGAAGGAAGGAGATTGAAGGGGGAAGGAAGGAAGGAAGGAGAGAGATTGAAGGGGAAGGGATGGAGATGGAAGGAAGGAAGGAAGATTGAAGGGGAAAGGAAGGAGATGGAGATGGAAGGAGGTTGAAGGGGAAAGGAAGGAAGGAGAGATTGAAGGGGAAGGGAAGGAGATGGATGGATGGATGGATGGAAGGAAGGAAGGAAGGAAGGAAGGAAGGAAGGAAGGAAGGAAGGAAGGAAGGAAGGAAGAATGGATCTTTGGAGAGTCATGTTTTCCCAGATGGTGATGAAATGCAACACCCAGCATTCCCCACTCTTCCACAGTGCTTTTTAGGGCTGCTGGGGATGGTAGTCCAGTAAGGTCTGGAGACACACACAGATGTCCTAGCATGGAAAATTGGCCGGGTAATTGCTGCGACTTTACTTGGAGGCATTCTGCAGCTCCTGAAAATCACTTTAACAAATTTTCCCTGGTTCGTCAAAGGCAACAAGTAATAAAACAAGCAACAGGTACCGGTAATAAAATAGCCCAAATTGTCCTTTCCAGCGCAGATGAAAAGAACCAGGGAAAGGGAAGTCGCGTCTGCCTCTTTGACCAATGGGAGGAGAAGCGGTAGGAAAAGCGCGGCGTTTCGGCCTGGGCACACAGCCTTGCCCGCAGGCGCTGCCAAGGACGCACAAGCAGCTCCGCACAATTATCCATGGAGTGGGGGAGGCTCTGGCGGAGAGCCTGGCGGAGAGCCAAGTGGTGGAACCTCCGGGGCCTTGGAAGCTGCGCGGAGGATCCATGCGCCTCGGAGCCACCGGCTGCCCTCTCGCGCCCGCCAACCTGGAGCCCCCCATCCTCATCCCGGCACCTCTTGCCCTCTCCCAGCCGCCCCCCCGGGACCTGCCCGCCCCTCTAGCCTCCTGTGCGCCGTCACAGTGGCGGGGTTGTGGGAGCCCCTTTCCACGCCGTGCAACCCTTCATCACCATGACCCTTCCCCGACTCGTTGCACGCGAAAGGCCAGAGCACCAGCTCCCGCTTCTCCCCTCCCGGCCCGACCAGCTGGCCTCCAACGCACATGCAGGCATCGCCGCCGTGCCCTCTTCCCCACCACCTGGTTGCTTCCGAGGCCCAGAGCCCGGAAGGAGCCGCTCCTGCTTGCCTGCCGCGCTGGGCGCTGGAGGGCCGAGGCGGCTTCCGATGGCGAGGGAGGCAGGCCAGGTGGCTCAGGGGAGGCTCCGGCGTGGCGCGGAGGGTGGCCAGGGCAGGGTGCAGCCGGGCAACCAGGAGGCGTGGGGACCGGCTTCGTGCCGCAGCTCAGTTCAGCCAGCAGTGGCGGCAGCAGTGGACCAGTCCAGCGGCAGCACCAGCAGCGGCCCAGACTTGGCTCGGCTCGTCCCGGCCGCCCACACAGCTGAGCCGGCCCTGAACGGCGTCGGGGGCGCATGCGATGGTGCGGCGGCAGCAGGAGCAGGCGCTGTCAGAGGAGAAGGGTGCCCTGGAGGCGGAGGAGCCAGCGAAGGAGGGCGGCGGCGACGGCCGGATAAAGGAGCAGTGTCTCGGTTCCTAAGAGCATCGGAAATACGTGTTTTCTGATGGTCTTAGGCGACCCCTGTGAAAGCGTCGTTCGACCCCCAAAAGGTGAGAACCGCTGGTTTAGAGGAAATAGTAGTAGAATAATAGGGAGTAGCAATAGTAGCAATTGAATAGTAATAAGTATAAGCATTGTCAGGGTATATTGCAACAGTGATTATCATAGAAACAATATAGAGAAAGCAACACAATGGAATATAGGAAGTCCTCACATATCACTTTTATACATTTGTTTTTACAAAATAAACCCCGTTCCCAACTGTTACAGACCAGAGACATAAAGAAGCCCCACTCCAGGATACAGGACGTTAGTGTCTCTTGTGGGTCAATTAACTGGGCATAATTTAAAAAAGAACCCAACAGGCCTTTCTCTGGCTCTCACCCACCCACGCACACACATAGACAACCCAGCATTTGACAGGACTCCCAAAGGAAACCACCACCCCCACCCCCAGCTCAGCAGCCTCTTTCTGGTCAAGCCAACGGAGCAGCTCAGACTTCAGCAAAGGTGCTGGACTCTGAATTCGAACTGGCTTCTTTGGCTGTCTCCAGCCCCCGTGTTGAACCGGCTGGTTCCACACATCCGGAGGGACATCCAGAGGGACGGGGAACGAAGAGCCTTTTCTCCCAATCACGAGGCCAGTGTCTATCTGGGAAGAAGTGATCCCCCCGAGATGCGCGGTGCTGGTGCTGGGCCTCCGGGAGGGCATCCAAGGGCCCCTCTCGACAAAGAACCCCAGGAGTTCCAGGAGGCAAACCCAGCCCCTCCCAGCATCTCAAGGGGGCCGCCCTCACCCAATCTTCTCTGGCACGCAAGCGATGCCCTGGGGCAACTGGGGGCCGTGGTCAAGGACCTCCGTTGTCCGAGCTCCGCGGGACTTCTGCCGGGGGGGGCGGGGGTGCAAAGTACTGCTGCCCGGCACAGAATCGTCCGAAGCCAGTCCCGAAGCCGGCCCCGCCCTCTCGGAGCCCCTCCCCGGAGGGAGATCCCCCCCGCCCGCTCCAAGATTGGCAGAAAGAGCCGAGGGGTGGGGGGGGGGCCGCCAGCTCCTCGGCGTCCCCTGCCAGAAGTGGGCGGCCCGGGGGTGCTTCGGGCAGGGCCAGGCCAGTGCGGGGGGCGCCGCTCTCTCACTCCGGCCGATCCTAGCCCATCCCTCGCTCCGCCCACTAAAGCGCCTCTCCCTAGCCTAGCGGAAGGGCTCGGTGGCCCTGCCGAGATAAGAGCCTGCTGTTCAGTCTAGCTCAGAATGGGGGGGGGGGGCGGACTGCCGTGGCCAGCGCGCCTTCCTGTGAGCCCTCCTGTCGGCAACACGCAGCCCGAGGAAGAAGCAAGAGGCGTTTTCAAGCAGAGAGAAATGCCCCCGTCCAGAAGCAAAAGGGACCCCTCTCTTCCGGTGGTCCCGGCCCCTCTCTTGAGGTCCAGAGAGCCAGGCTGGCCAGCGAAGAGGGGGGACGGTCCACGAACTCCGCTGACTTGCCTCCAAGCCACAGGGAGCCGGGCTCTCTGCCCTCCTGCCCGCGGGTGGCGTGGACGGCGTGGACTGCCCCGTTCAACCCAGGAGAGTCCCTTGGATCGGGCGGCCCGATATCAGAAGCCCGGCCTGGTTCTATTTGGGAAGTCTGGTTTGTCTCCCTTGTTTGCTTCGCCTCGCACGCGGCAGCACCCGGAGCGATTGGCCTCATTCTCTCCCCCCCCCATCAAACCGCCCTTCACTCCTGGGGGCTTCTTCATCTCCCCAGCCAGTCAAGGAAGCCGGTGCCGGCTCAGTAGCTGTCCGAATGCGCCCCCCATTTCAGTTTTAGAGCAAGCAGCATTGCCCCCCCCCCCGGAGATCAGCAATGTGGGCGCAAGAACAGGTGAAGATGGAAGGCATCCTTAAGGGGGGGGTAAGAGTCCGGGGGGGGGGTTGGACTTCTATAGTTCCAATTGCTGAAATCAAGAAATAATGCTGAAAGGAGGGGCAGAGCTGTGGTAACCCTGGCAGATTTGGGGGAGATTTCAAGGGGGTGGCAACTGCAGATACAGAAAGGGATGAGAAACAGGCGGGGGAGGGGGAGCCAGACAAGGGCAGACAGGACAGTGCCAAAGGCCATGTTGACCAACTGGCCAGGGGAGGATCCCAGAGGAGCCAGACGGGGCTGTTGGCCATGCTCCCCATGTGCCCCATGAGCTCCGAGCTGCCTCTGGAGAGCAGCTCTTCTTCAGCGCCAGGCGGGGGGGGGGGGGAGGGAGTCTTCTTTGGAAGCCAGTCTCACTCCTGCTCGGGTGGGAGAAGAGGGGGGCCACCTCAATAAGCCAAAGGCCTTGAGGCTGCCCTCCCACTGGCCCTTTCGCAATGTGTCATGAGAAAAGTCAGCAGAAGCAAAGTGGGCTTCCTCTGGCCCCACTGCTTCCAGCGTTGCTTTCTCCCTGTCATCAGGAAAGAATGCAAAACCCATCCAGGGAACCCCCAGTGCCGGGAGGGGGAGGGGAGGGGGAGGCCCCCCAGAGACAAAAACAGCTTCTGATCAGGCCAGACAGTCGATTTGTCTACGGAGCACAGAGAGAAACAGACAATTCCGTGCAAAAGGTTAATCATTAATGAGCTGCTAGTCCTCACTGCCTACCCAGGACAAGAGGACCGGCTCTGTCCTTCCATCCCTTCACCGGGAATCAGTGTGGCCCGGCGGGTGTCAGGCAAAGGGGCCATGAGAAGCCATATGGCTGTTCCGCTGCTGCTCTTCCTTCTCTGCGCACTTCTTGCCGAAGGGAACCCCAATGGCGGAAGGAAGAAAGGTAAGCCCGCAGCCCCTGAGCAGGGACAGTGGTTTTGGAAGAAGGTCCGGCCCAAACAGCCCCCCCTCGGCTTCCAAGGGACAAGGCCGTTTGCTGGAATCGGTGCTTCCTGTCCAGATGAGAGGAGAGGAGGCCTTGGGTAGGCTGACTTAGCCCCTGAGTGGGGTCGGGAGCAGCAAATGCATTTCCTTATGTAAAGGGAGTGTAGTGTGGTCAAGGAGAGCCGTCATATTCATTCATAAGGAAAGAGAGGGGGGGGGAAGGAAGGAAGGAAGGAAGGAAGGAAGGAAGGAAGGAAGGAAGGAAGGAAGGAAGGAAGGAAGGAAGACCAGAGAAGTTTCCCTCCACTTAGTTGGAGGGACCCTTTTCTCCAGCTCTTGA